TTTTGTCTTGGATTAAGTTTATCTCCATGTTCCATTTTATGATACTTATTAACCTTAAATCAAATGAATTGTTTTGCAGATACAAATAGTGAAGTATCACATAATTCCCTTCAAAAAGTAGGTCAATTCAGCCTATAGCTACTTACTACTCATTGGCATTTCTTTATTAAAAATACTTTTAAGGGATTGAATACATAAGTAGGCCTCATATTGTATTTTTCATATCAACCCATAACATTATGTTTTATGAGTAACAATGACATTTCTTTTTTGAGAATCACCATTGTCCTGTAATTAAGGGGGCCTCAGTGGAGGAGTGGTCTAAGTAGTTATCACTAGCCTGTCAACACTGAGGTTGTAAGTCTGAATCCTGCTCCTGGCAGGAACGTTCACCTACAAATCTTAATTGACTAACATTGACAGTTTGTCTGTGGAGGGTCAGTGGTTGACTCTTAAGATAATCTGGCTTTCTCCACCAATAAAAACTATTGGCCATGTTTTAGCGAAAGTACTGAAAGTGGTGTTAATCACCAACACCCAATCAGTTAATCCTGTGTTTAAGGTTCTATGATTTTATGCCAAAAGTCTAGATTTAAATCATGGTATTTACTGTGTTTGAACATTTTTAAGATAACTTTTAATTGTTAATTAGTACATTTTGTAGAAAAGCAAAGAAATTAAAGTAGAAAAGTTTGATAGTATTATAGACTACTCTTGATATTCCCAGTTTGGATGCAATACCATTTACAAATACACTCCTTTTTACAATGTGACCTTGTCATTGATCATTTATATAATATTGGTCTGTCAGACAACCTTTGGTGTAGGATTCCTACCTTGTTAACATGTTACAAATTGTAAGGCTTTTATCTTTTATTGAAAAAAAGTTGTTTCAATTAATTTATCTGGCGGTATTCTTCATACAATAGATAACTGAATGTACTATTCATGGCCTCTGCAATTAATTTATCGAGTACCAGTCTCATAACATTGTCCAATGTTTTCCTTGACAGTCTTGACATCATCTATCTTTCAATGTATTGGTTGTGTCTTGAATGTAACTTCTGCTATTAGTCCTCTGGGACTAAATTTGCCAGTAAATTGATTAAAAGTAGAGAAAATGTGATTCCTGTTTGATTTGTATAAGGCCAACGATAGTTGAAAAACCTCCTGAAATTCTGCCTTACTACTTTTGAACAGTGGGTTTATGGCATCTTGGAATCATATTACTGATAATCATATTAAAGATAACTAGTAAAAAATAATGTCAGGATAGTACTGCTTTAATTATTAGGGAATTCCAATTTGAGGGGGAAAGCCCTGGAGCTTGAGAACATTTTCTTTGTAAGCACTCTTGCAAATAATTATTTGGTTCACTTATTACACTGTATTTATCAGTTGACATCATTGTTTCTCTATTTTTTGCTACTTGGTAAAACAGTTCTGGGTCAATGGATTTATGTATAAGTTAGAGCTTATAATATTAGTATATTGCCCTTCATGTGCATAAACTGAGGAGATATATAAATGACTATTTATTGGAAACTCCTCCTCTGTTGATGTTGATGAGGACTTTATACCAGGGACAGTAGGAGGTAAGATTATATCATTTTTTTACAAACATATATGTTTTTTTAGCATATGTGTCTATTCAGAAATCTTCTTGTATGTAAGGTGGATATGAAACATGATTTTGGGGAAATCAAGCCATCGTTTCATGAAAATCACACATGTTTTGCAAATGAATTACTGTAGTGTTATTTTTGGCACCATGGCTGAGAATTTGTTGTTTTTTTTTTATTAATTGTAAATTGAAAAAAAAATTTCGCCCTTGCCCTTTTTTAAGCAAATTTTTAGTAGGCCCCACTTGAAAATCCTGGATCTTCTGTGTACTCACAGTTGAATTTTCCTTCTATTAAGATTCTCTTGCATTTTCAAATTTTATTTGCAATACAAGTCATCTATACCTTTACTTTTTTTAAGAGATTGATATTTGTTATATCTGAAGATAAGCATTTCTATGAAGATTTACTAAAACTAAACTAATTGCTGTAAGATTTCAAAAAACAATTAATTTCCCCATAGGTGATAACTGTAGCCTTTTTCAAGATACAGACTTTAGAAAGTTGATTTTTAAAACAAAACCTTGCTAGAATTAAAGAAAAATTATTAGAACAGTAATTTTACTCTTTGGCAAAAAGTAGGTTCCCTTTGCTTTTATTAGTTTCATTTGTATTTCTCCCTTGCCTATCACTTCTGCGCTTAAAAACATGTGTCTTATCACAGCGTAGAAAAGATTTTTCACTTCCGTTAGGGCTAAGGAAAATATATTATTTTGCCTTTGGTATAATGCAGAGTGCACAAAGTGTCTAGTAACAAAAAATACCAGCTGGGCACATTGACCAATCAGGATTAGCCATATTCTTAATTCTAAATACCATGTTTCTTCATAAAATGGATGTGCCCATAATGTTTAATGGTTGATTGTAACATTAAGATATGGGTTTGATGTTCACATGGTTGTAAAGGGAAAGAACTCTGTAGTTTGTCACAAATCTTTAAAATTGGTCTAATGTAATATGATAAAAACATTAATTATTTTATAAATATGAAAATAGATGGCAGTTTTTGTACAGTTGTGAAAACATATAATGTCTACAAATCAATATGGACAAAATAGCAATTGACTGACCAATATATTGATGATCTGCCATTACTTATTAAGATGTTGTTGTGTGATATGGTTTATAATTCCCCTATCTTTATTTTATTTGCTGTATAAACACCAAACTATCAACATTGGTGCTTGCTTTTATTTCTTACATTTTAGATTTTCTTGATCATAGACTGTACTATGTACAATGGTTAAGATGTGATTTGACTGGCTTATCTTGTAGATATTGGAGTTATAGAGTTAAGTGGTCACTTTTCTAAATTCGATTAATGATGATACTTATAAATCAATATGCCAGACCACTGGCTTTCTGTGATACAGATTTCTGAAGTGTGGATGCATGCACTAAATAAGAAAAAAGGACAAGACAAGTATTATTTCCCCCAGTAATATATAAATAGAATCTGGATATCATTTTGTAACTGAACCCCTTTAGAATAAATGAAAGCAAGGATTATTCAAGTAGTATTCCTTTTAGTTGACTTTTCTTTGAGAAAAATAAAAATTTTGAGAAGTAGCTGAAATCTTTGTCAAAGGAATTGCATGTTTTTCCAAATTTTATTAAATTTAAGTTTATGACATAAATTACAAGTACTACAGTATATTTCTTTTAATCCTTTTCCAAATATTTTTGTTTTAAATGGGCATTAGCTGTCAAATTCATGTTGACCAATTTGACTCAAATTTTCATATGTGATTTATAACATACTAAAACGTATATCCAAATTACAAAAAGTCTAAAATTAACAATTAACAATGCATGGACTCGATAATATGAATCAACATTTCGTGTGTATTTTTGTCTAAACGTCATCTAATTAACCATCGAGATGACCTCCAAAGACTGCTGACGGTCATATAACCCGATATAAACATAAATATAAATATAAACAGATAGCGTCCACGTGCAATTGGATTTTTCTAGGTCTGTTTGATTTCAAATTGTAGGTTGAAAAGTATGTTTATCATCGTTTTTACCTGTATAAGAATAATTTTTTTTTGTGGATCGAATCAGTCAACCAAATGGTTCAACCTTGTTTCAATTTCAATGTTGACATTCTCTTCCTTTTAATAGATGAATACAAGGGTAACCCATCTAAGGCTTAGTGGTAAATTGAAGGTCACATGATTAGGATTCAATGAGGTCGAATTATTCACTTGCAATTGAATAATTCATCATCGATGTTCTTAGCTTATTTTGACAAAATTGAACCAAATTGGCTTGCTAAAAACGAATTACCGTTATTATTTCACTATATCACTTTGATTAATGATTGAACAAAAAACCTCATATTTAAATTCTTTTTATATCTCGTAATGCCCCTTTAAGATAAAAGATTGCTATTTGCTTGTTGACTTCAAAATAGCTTTAATAAAGAATAAGCAGATGTTTTTGACATTTTTGTGTCGCCTGATTTCTTTGTAGAATGTGAGACATAGGATTACAATCCTGTGGCACCATCAACGTAAATTAATTATATAAAGCTTTATTTTTTTTACCTTGTATAAAGATGCCTTATGTTACAAAGCTTTGTCTGTTTATGTCCATTGTCCTTGACCTCATTTTCATGGTTTTGCAACTGCTTAAAAAAAAAGTTTAGTTTTTTTGTCATGTGAATTTCTCACTCATTATGAGTAATAGGATAACTATATTTGTTATATAGGTTCCTTACAAGGTCTACATTTCTGTCAGACCTAAACCTCATTTCATGGATTGGTGATCACGTTTAACATTACGTGATTAGGTCCATTTCTCAGATACTGTAAGGAGTAGGTCTACTACATTTGGTGTATGGTGTACATGTCAGTCTGGCAGATTTCATCTGACCTTGGCCTCATTTCATGTTTCTTTGGTCAATGTTAAGTTTTTGTGTTTTGGTCTGTTTTTCTAAAACTTTAAGCAATAGGTCAACTATATTTGGTGTATGGATGATATTTTACTGTGTACATGTCAGTATTCAAGGTTTCATTTGACCTTGACCTCATTTTCATGTTTCATCAGTCAATGTAAAGTTTTTGTGTTTTGGTCTGTGTTGATTACACTAAAATCAATAGGTCCACTTTATTTGGTGTATGGATTGATTGTAATGAATATGTCTGTTTAAAAAGGTATCTTCTGTCCTTGACTTCATTTTCATGGTACATTGGTCAATGTTTACTTTTTATATGACCGCAAAAAAATTTTTGTGGTCGTATATTGGTATGACGTTGGCGTCGTCGTCGTCGTTGTCGTCTGGCGTCGTCCGGCGTCGTCCGAAGACACATTGGTTTTTCGCACTCTAACTTTAGTTTAAGTGAATGGATCTCTATGAAATTTTACCACAAGGTTCAATACCACAAAAGGAAGGTTGGGATTGATTTAGGGGGTTATGGTACCAACAGTAAAGGAATTAGGGGCCAAAACTAAGCATTTTTGTAACTTCCAGACATAACTTGTGTGTTAGTGTATGGATCTCTCTGACATTGTACCACAAGGTTCCATATCACAAAAGGAATGCTGGGATTGATTTTGGGGGTAATTGCCTCAAAATTTTAGGAATTAGGGGCCAAAAAAGGGGCAAAAAACAAGCATTTTTCTAGTTTCATGACAATAACTTGTGTGTAAGTGTATGGATCTTTCTGAAATTGTACTACAAGGTTCCATATCACAAAGGGAAAGCTGGAATTGAGTTTGGGGGTAATTGCCGAAACGTTTAGGAATTGGGGGCCAAAAAGGGGCCAAAAATAAGCATTTTTCTAGTTTCCAGACAATAACTTGTGTTCAAGTGTATGGATCTCTCTGAAATTGTACTGCAAGGTACCATACCACAAAGGGAAGAGGGGGATTGATGATGGGGGTAATTGCCTCAATATTTTAGGAATTAGGGGCCAAAAAGGGGCAAAAAACAAGCATTTTTCTTGTTTCAGGACAATAACTTGTGTGTAAGTGTATGGATCTTTCTGAAATTGTACTACAAGGTTCCATATCACAAAGGGAAAGCTGGGTTTGAGTATGGGGGTAATTGTCCTAAACGTTTAGGAATTTGGGGCCAAAAAGGGGCCAAAAAACACATTTTTCTAGTTTCCAGACAATAACTTGTGTTCAAGTGTATGGATCTCTCTGAAATTGTACTGCAAGGTACCATACCACAAAGGGAAGGCTGGGATTGAGTTTGGGGGTGATGAATCATAAGGGGGTTCAAAAAATTTGTGGGGGGATTTTTTTTTTTTTCCTTTTTTTTCTTTTTTCCTTTTTTTTTTCTTTTAAAATTTTCCATTTTAAGTTGGTTATTTCTGATTTATATTTAAAAGCAAATAATAATGATATGGTAGGAGATACACACCAAACAGGATGTGTAAATTATTATATAATAAGCATTGTGCAATAGCAAGAAATTTTCAATTGCACAGTATTGCACAATAGCAAGAAATCTTCAATTGCACAGTATTGGGCAATAGCAAGAAATCTTCAATTGCACAGTATTGCGCAATAGCAAGAAATATCCAATTGCACAATATTGCGCAATAGCAAGAAATTGTCAATTGTACAGTATTGCGCAATAGCAAGAAATATTTAATTGCACAGTATTGTGCAAAAGAAGATACTTCGTATAAATTGCTTATTTCTTGACCAATTTCAATGGGGTTTTATTCTTGAATTCTTGGGGTTCTTTAATATGCTGAATCTAACCGTGTATTTAGATTTTGGATTTTGGGCCCCGTTTTTAAATTGGTCCACATTGAGGTCCAAAGGGTCCAAAATTTAACTTTGTTTGATTTCATCAAAAATTGAATTATTGGGGTTCTTTGATATGCCGAATCTAACCGTGTATTTAGATTCTTAATTTTTGGTTCCGTTTTCAAATTGGTCTACATAAAGGTCCAAAGGGTCCAAAATTAAACTTAGTTTGATTTTAACAAAAATTGAATTCTTAGGGTTCTTTGATATGCTGAATCTAAACATGTATTTAGATTTTTGATTATGGGCCCAGTTTTCAAGTTGGTCCAAATCGGGGTCCAAAATTAAACTTTGTTTGATTTCAACAAAAATTGAATATATGGGGTTCTTTGATACACATTCATTCTGTGTCAGAAACCTATGCTGTGTCAAATATTTAATCACAATCCAAATGCAAAGCTATATCAAGCTTGACTGTTGTGTCCATACTTGCCCCAACTGTTTAGGGTTCGACCTCTGCGGTCGTATTAAGCTGCGCCCTGCGGAGCATTTTATTGTGTTTTGGTCTGTTTTTCTAATATAAGCAATAGGTCAACTTTATTGTATGCATGGAATGATTGTAAGGTGTAATTGTCTGTCTTGCAGGATTCATCTGACCTTGACCTTATTTTCATGGTTCATCTGTCAATATTATATTTTAATGGTTTGGTCTGTTTCTTGTATACTATAAGCAATAGGTCAACTATGTTTGGTGTATGGAATAATTATAAGGTCAACATGTCTGTCTGGCTTGGTTTATCTGACCTTGACCTCATTTTCAAGGATCATTGATAATATTGGTAAAGCTTTATCTTTAGGAGTATCAACATAAAATCAAACATGGTTAGTAAAGTAGGCAAGACATTTCAGTGTGAGCTATCTTGTTTATTTAAGAAATGAGAAATGAGATAAATAATGTTTTATATTAGTTTAAGGAATAATTAGAATAATTGAGTTGACAGTGAAACTACTAATTAACATCTTTTGTAACCATAGCAATTGTTATTTAGTAATGAAATGAGAAAAGAGTTCAGAAGTTTATAAATTCTCTTGTATGAATGAAATGTTATGTATTTTTCTTGTATGTTTTACTATGGAAGTGATATCTTTAATGGTTGTAACTCTGCAGTTTCCCAATTTCCTGGTATGAGTTTAGCCAGTGTAATTAACTTTATTCAGGAGTTCTTGATATTTTTTTAGTACAGAATTTGTATGTAGATGAACATCCTATGTTGGTCAAATACAATTTTCTCTTGTTAACAGCCTACTGTGTAGGTAATTGTTACTGCTGATAGTAATGTCCTGGAGGTCATCAAAATATTAATAATCATTAACTACTGGGTACCACCAGCTAAAACCTAGAGAGATACTCAAAAATCTGACTAGAGGTTAGTGACTCTGTTATCTTTGTTGCATTATGGTAGACAGTGCACTGAGATTGCATTCCGGATTACTTTTTTCTTGTGTAGAGCAAATATTTAATAAAATATGCTAAAATTACATAGTTAAAAAGTTCCATTATGACTTATGTAGAGATGACTGGAAGAGTGTTAAGAAGTAGTAGATTTGTTTTAAAATAGAAAAGAAAAAAAGACTGTGTTCAGTATTATTTTCCTCAGACATCCATGTTTTTAAAGTGAACATTTTATCCTTTCCACTTCATCCAGATCCATGCATGCAGAATGGCTTGCAGGGCAAATTAGACCATGCAAGGTCTACATATCTGCAAGGCATGGTTCACCTAACCTTACATGGATCAGTGATCAAGATTAAGTTTTCTTTGTCAAGTTGGTATCTCAGATACTGTAAGCAATATATGTATGTGATGACTATAAGATGTACAAGGTTAGTCTGGTCATGATCATGGGTCATTGGTCAATGTTAAGTGTTTGGGGATAAAATTAACATAGATCAACTATATTTGGTTTATGATAGGGTTCTTATGACCTTGACCTCATTTACATGGATCATTGATAATGATAAGTTTATGTGATACTTGTAGTAAGCAACATAAATTCCATCATGTCAGCAAAGCAAGAGACATTTCAGTGTGTGCACTCTTGTTTTATTTTTTTAAATCAGTATCTCTAAGAACAACCTAATGGTTTATGATTGAGAATAAGAGGAGTTATGTGTTTTCTGAGACAGAAGCCAAATAACACAATCAATAAGCATGATATGTAATCATTTTTTTTGTCTATTTTAGTATGGATGGAGCTGACCTTTGTTTTGAGATAGTTAAAAGAGCATCACTTGGTTTTGTATACAGTGAAGCTGTTTCCAGGTAAAATTACATTTCCTGTCATAATGGTTAATTAAATGAAGAATCAATACTTAGGTCCAAGAGAGACAGTCACAATCATGGCAAGTAAAAAACAAAATACTGAAAAAAAGTAAAACAGCAGTCTTCTAAACACTATATAAAAGCTAAAGACTGAATTCCAACTCACCCGAAAACTGGGGGTGATCTAAGGTGCTCCAGAAGGGTAAGCACATCCTGCTCCAGATGTGGCATCTATCATGTTGCTCATGGTAAGTACAGAATTTTGCATTAAGTCTCATTTAGTAATGGCAAGAAATTCACAAGTCCAATAAAAACAGACAACATCATGGCCAAAAGTAAAAACTACTTAAAAACAAACAACAATAGAAAAAAATAACTCAGAAGATTGAGCAACATAATCCATTAGAAGTATTGTTAATTATAAAGCAAACTTTGTGAACATAGGATGAGGTAGGAAGGGATCAGTGGGTGTTATCATGACTTAAAGCTAACTATCTAATGAAGAAAATTGTTGCTCTCTAATAAACCTCCTCCTGCCATTACTAACATATTTTGATGTAGGTTTTAAAAGGATAAAAAAAGAGAATTCTAGTGTAGAAATTTCTTAAAGAGAACAAAGTTCACCTTATTGTAGTTTGAACCTTTTGAAAAATGTTTTTTTTACATTACAAAATGAGTGTAAAAAGCTTTTTATATTGCAATGAAACACACGAAAATCTTTTTTATACTACAATAAAGAAGAAAGAGATATTGACAACGATTTTAAAATATGGAAATGTGTCTCTCATCATACTATAGTAACTATACTCTGATTATTTAAATGTGACTTTACTAGAATGAGCATTATTATAGTATTGGAGTTATCTAAGATGCAGAAGCCTAAGATACCAATAAACTTAAGATTTAACCTTTTAGTTCATTGCATTTGTAACCAGTATTTATCATGATTGAAATCTTTTAGCTGCCACAAACAAACAAACACACTCTCAATTTGTTGGATTTTATGATACTATGTTGACAGAACCTTTTAGAGGAACTTGACTTGGCCTTTTAAGAATTTGAAAATTTTCCATTGATTTGATGTGAAGTTACAACAGAGAGAGAATAAGCATTAACAAGCATCAGGAGATGTCAGGTTACTAATGAGTTCATACAAACAAATACTGTCTCATAAATGGAAACAGAAAAGAACTCTCCAATTAACCTTTTAAGAAAAACAGTTGTTGATGGATACAGTTCTTATTAATGAACCTGTCCATGGACTTATGTGGTGGCGTGTCTGTTAAATAACTCCATTTGTGTATTTATTTTGCCACCTTACATGTAATATGGAATTTCAGATATTTAAGTAAAATCTTTCTCATGTCTCCTTTTATTCACGTCAAAGGACTTGTTATAGTGTATTCCATAAGATCATCAACCATCTGCATTATTGAATGATATCATAAACACAAATGATATGAAGGTCCATCATCTGACAGAGCATATATATATATTTTAATTGTTAATCTAGGAGATGATCTGAAATCTATTTGCTTTCATGTCAAAGAAGAAATTGATAACTTACTTTGAACTTATCCTAAAACAAAAGTTGTTACTTAACCTTATTGTGTTTTGGTATCTAGAAATGGTTTTAATATGAGGTCAAATATAGAAAGTAAAAAAAAACCTTTCTAGGATAGAAAAAAATCATTTATTTAACAAAATCTGTCTCTTGTAAATGAAAATGTCCCAATGTTAGAATATCCATATGAAAGACTTCAACAACAGTAGGGCTATAAGTTACACTAAAAACAAGACAAATGGCTTTGGAGTATCAGCTATTAAGGTTACATGAAACAATTATTGACTTATGATGTTCAATCATACAATAGATGATTTCTCAAGCATTGATAAAGCTTTAAAACCAACAAAACATCAAACTTCTATAATTGCTTCATATTTGTTTAGTCTCTTAGGTCAAATCAAAGGACAAAGTCACAGACAAAAACAAAATGAGGTTTTCTGCTTTTCTTGCTATAAAATTGGGTTGTCCTTATGACAGATTTCTGATTTTTTAAAATGTTTATATATTATAGGTCACAACTTCTACATGTACCCGGTACTGGTGTTTTTTCTTTTTTTATCTTTAAGTCACTTCGAGCAATTTAGTTCTTGTTCTTTGCATTTACAATTTTACTGACAGCTATTAATTGACAGCAGTTTCTTAATTTGAAACCATCAAACCATAGATTGATGATCCTAGTACCGGTAGTAACATGTATATTGCTGATATTATCGTTGAAATACAACTAATGATATCATCTATAATGTAAAAGTATCTTCATATGAAGATATTATTTTCTACATGATCAATTGTGAATTATGTGTCACTAAGTTCTTGAAATAATCCAATTGAAACTCATATTATATTACATTTTATCTTCTAATAGCAGTTTTATTTTATAAGAGCAGTGTAAGAATGTTAGAAACTGAAGTGATTATTACTTGGATGAGAATGCATTTATCATTTAATTCATTAATGACATAGCACAGAGGAGCTTGGAGGTGTAAGATATCCACTGGAATGGATGTAAGGAAAATATTTTGATGAAGTGAACTGAAATCAAACTGTTATGTTTAGAATTACATTTTGTAATACAAAATAAGTAAGATTACATATTTTTAAAATCATATTAAAAGAACATAGCCCTGCTATTACTATTTGTCCTCTCATAGGTATAAAAACTCATAGAAATAAACTTGCCCTAGCCTTCTAATGATGAATGCACATTTAAAAAAAAAACCAAGATAATTTTATTGATGTTATAAGAAAGTACATGTTACTGATAGATAATTTTAACCAATCCTTAAGGCTATCTGATTGTAAAAACATCTGTAAAGACAGAATTTCTCTCACTAACCAAAACACTTTGCTAAATCTGTGTATAACAGAGGAGAAAACTAACATGTAAAGAACATTGAGCCATTCTTACATAATAAACTCAATATTTTGTATATGCTGCATAAAGATTTTTTGTCTATTGTAGTCATTATCTGCGACAGATACTTGAAGCTATAAGATACTGCCATGCTAACAATATTATTCATCGTGACCTGAAGCCACATTGTGTGTTGTTGGCATCCAAAGAAAACTCAGCTCCAGTTAAACTCGGTGGTTTTGGTGTTGCTATACATCTACCTGAATCTGGAGAGCTATCAGGAGGTATATAAGAATGAAAAATTAGTAAAAGTTTGATCAATGTAATTGAATTCAGGTTTCTTCGTATTAAATTTGGTCGGAATCCACCTTATAATCATGGTTCCAGAAAATAGAATACATTATAGAATAAGAAAATACCAGGAAACCTGACCAACTTTGACAAAAATGTCAACTCCTGTCCCTAGTGGTGGTGTATTATATAATAGGTGAATTTAATGAAACTTAAATTTACAAATTAAAGTGAGAGTGAGAGGCTTTTTACATTAAAGACGTAACAATTCCACCTATTACAATTATGACGTGAAATTTTATGAAATGTCTCGTCTAATTAAACTTCTTTCATAACAGAACATTCAAAATTTCTCGTATAATAGAGTAAATGTCACCCTGAAAAAATACAAGGTCATTACCAATACTGTTGCCATGAACACACACTTTAGATAAAACTTTATTTTGTCACATTTATTTGTGCATAGAGAAGATAAGTAAATAATTTGTAATTAGAGAAAAATAAAGAAAGGGAATACTGAATTTTTAGAATATGGATTACATCTTGCATGGATCTTTCTTTTCCTGTTCACAATACTTTTAACATTAGCATGGTGTTCACTTTCACAAACTAACAATTGAAACATTTATCTGCAGGGATTTTAAGACCTTGAAACATACATTTAGAAACAGGAATTTGAAGTAGCAAGCAACAGATTTTTGTTTTCATATGTTTGTATTGACTTACAGTTTCTTGTTAATGTCCACATCTGTAACAGCATTATTTTTAATGTTAAAAAAGAGGAGGGATGGGTGGGGTATAGTGGACTTGTTTAAATCTATCATAAAAGATTCCAGGGACTTTTGGTGTGAATATTATACTTAGAATTCCACTGTTAAAAATTGCCAGTATATTTTTTGCAGTTCGTGTTTATCCCTCTGATCAAAGCCTACTTCAAATTGTTGTTGAAATATTGTTCAAAATGATGCCTCATTTTTCCTTCCCAGGGTTTGCTCTTTGATTTTGTTTGTAGTGGCCCATATTTTCTATAAAGCATATCCACATTGTACAGGAGACAAGGATTACACTTGTTAGAATGATATCTTTACATAACAGCAATCAGATGTCAATTATCAACTTCAAAGCTCAGATAATTGTTATGGACAGCTACCACGAAGCAAGTGGACAGAAGGATATAGGTATCCTGATGTCTGACCATCGGACATTGTAGGCCTTTCACACCAACAGTTCTCATCAGATTTTAATAAGAAATTATGTGATAGGTTTACATCATAAATATCTCATACTCATTCAAAACTCAGGGCTAAATATATATTTTTTGAGAGCAATATACCTTAGAATATCAATTATATGAAAAATCAACATTGTAAGCTCTTATGGGTCAGAATTTTTCATTGATCATTATTGTAATTTATATCAAATGTTTACATTATTATTTCTAATGAGTAAGAAAAATCAGGTTTTATTGAATATTTTACCCTTGAAATCTGCATAAAATGTAATATGTAGAGTCAACATTGTAAGTCTCACATCTTAAAGTGTTCATTGTAGTGAAATGACATTTAACTCAAAGGTTGACATCAGTAATATCTTGAATGAAATTGAAAATCAATGCTGATTGGATATTTTTGTTGAGTTATGCCCTTAAAAATGTTAAAAGTACACAAATGCATTTTTTTTTTAAATATAAATGATGTGGAAAATAAAAGTTTTAAGTGTTCTCAGACCTGCAGTTCTCAAGGGAGTTTTAATGAAAATTATGACATAAGTTTTCCTCACCAATATTTTTTACAAGTTTAATAATAGGAATTGATTGAATATTTTGTGTGGAGTTATGCCCATATGAAAGGAAAATAATAATGAAGAGCAGCACTGTAAGCCCACTTACACATACATTTCTCGTTTGTCAGTAATGAAGTTTTTGTCAAAGGTATACAACAGCAACATTCCAAATGAGTTCAAAAGTATTGTAGATTGATCAACTTTACTGCAGTGATAACCTTGGAATTATAGTGATAGGGGAAGTGGGAGAGTGGCGTCGGTTACTCTGTAGCAATCATGTTACTATTCTAACTGGGAACATACTGCTAAAATGGTATAATCTTCATTTCTTTCATCATATTGTGGATTGTATAGTATTTAAAGGCAAATACTGGAAAATATGTTGAATTTCTAATTGAATAATCACAACCTACTTGTTTTTAACAGAAGTGTGTGTATGGATGTCCTATTTTTATATTAATATGAAAATAGAATCTCTGCATTTGTTTGGATAATTTGTTTCAATGAAAATTTATCATTAACTGCCTTTTATGGCCCTTTAAAAAACTAGACAACATTTAAATGATTGATGAGAGGTTCATGAAAATTAAGAGATTGATATATTTTTAATGCCCCCCACCGTAGCATACTTCATACACTGGTCAAATGACATCTACAAAGTCATATATTTTGAACAATTTCCTGAATTTGATAGGTTTGATATAGTTTTAGAAATTGTCATTTGACCCTGACTTCATTGGTCAGTTTTAGAATTTGGATAAGGTTTATAACACTAAAATTTAGGCCAATAATGTAGAAAACTAGAATCTGTTATATAAACAGGAGGTGCCCATTATTATAGGTCATTGACTTTTGAAATAGTTGTTGTATATTAGTATTCATGCATTGCTTTTAGGGGAGTAATTTTAGTGGATCAACTCCTGCTTTTGGCTTCAGGGAGGTAAAACAAAATGATGTCTGAGTGAGTGAGTAGTGCATTGCATGATAGACAGTTTAATAAGGCCATTTAACCTTATAATGATGATTGAAGTCTTGAAACAGACATAAGTAAAATAAACCTCGATTTTCAACCAACATTAAGACACTGTATTTATCTTTTTCTCTAAGACAAAAGCTTGTATTATGTTGGTTTGTCTGGAATACAAATTAATTTGACTATCCAAGCAGGTAGCGTTATATCTGTTTTTACTGAGTGGCTATCGTAATTGAATCCCAGAGGTCTAAATAATGAAATCAGGATTGAAAATAAATAGGATGAAAAGATTATTTACCATTAAACACACAAAATCATTTCATTCATGTAACTTAAAAAACTTAGAACAAATTAATAGAAAAACAATAACAAGTTTTACATGGGAAATATTGGAATGAATATTAAAATATTCTCAACTGCAAAAGTGCAAATGGATGTTTGAAGGCTAAGAATTATAATAGTTGAGTAAAGTTAATATATTTATTTGCTAGTGTATAGCATAAGTTTTTTGGTTTTGTCTTCTTTGTTTATTTTTTGTTATCTTTTATGTTTGAATTTCAGTAAATTACTGATTTTGTACTTAGAGCCTTTCCTGTGAAATCACTTTTAGTTTTATCTATATAAAAATAAGGAGATGAGGGATGATTGCCAATGAGACAACTATCCACCAGAGTTTAAATGAAGTGGATATAAGCAATTATAGGTCACTGTACGGCCTTCAACAATGAGAAAAAAACTCCATACCATATAATCTGCTATAAAAGACCCTAACATGAAAAATGTAAAAGCATTACAAAAACAAGAAAACCAATGGCCTAATTTATATCAAAACAAATTACGAAAAACAGATATGACAGACATGAACCAGCGACAAACACTACACTACAGGCTCGTGAATTGGCATAGGCTTTTAAAGAATGTGGTGGGGTTAGACATGTTTGTGAGCGCTCAACCCTCCCCCTTACCTGGGACAGTGTTGTAACAGTACAACACAAGAACAAACTGTAAAAATCAATAGCAATTGGCTTAACTCAAAAGATCGTTACTAACTAACATTAGTTCATTTGAAATGAATTATGATATTTGGTTTTATAACTATCCAACAGAGTTCCAACGACGAAGATAAAAACAATTTTAGGTCACTGTAGGCCTTCAACAATTAGAAAAACCCATATGGTATAGCCAGCTATGAAAGGCCCTGACATGAAAATGTGAAACAATTCAAACAAGAAATATAACGGCCTTATTTATACAATACAATTAATGAAAAAAAAAACAGATAGACATTCTGTTTGTGCCAGTCCAAAGTCAGGAGCCTGTAATTCAGTGGTTGTCATTTGTTGCTGTATATCATATTTGTTTTTCGTTCCTTATTTTGTACATATATCAGTCTGTTATTTTTCTTGTTTGAATTGTTTTATATTTGTCATTTCGGGGTCATTTAGAGCTGACTATGCGGAATGGGTTTTCCTCATTGTTGAAGACCGTACGGTGACCTATAGCTGTTTTAAACTTCTATGTCATTTGGTCTCTGTTGGAGAGTTGTCTCATTGGTAATTATACCACATCTTCTTTTTTTTATATGAACCAATGATAACCACTGAATTAGAGGCTGGGCTCCTGACTTGGGATAGGCACATAAAGAGCGTGGCAGGGTTAGACATGTTTGTGAGAGCTCAACCCTCCCCTAACTGGGGACAGTGGTGAAACAGCACAGCATAAAAAAAAACCTGTAAAAATCAGTTGCAAATGACCTAACTCGATAAATGGGTACACAACACAATGAACATAAAAACAATAGAAAAAAAGCACCAATATAAGAGTACTAGCAGTTACTGAAAGCTAGTTCAAAACCAATTACAACTAATAAATAAATAAGGGTTACCCAGACTAAAGCATCAATCAGGTTTTCCCAGACTAAAGCATCAATCAGTTCACATCCAATGGATTTAGTTTAAGGAAGTCATAAACAGCCTGAGAAACACATAACCTTGTGCAATGTCAAAATTAGAGTGAAGAGTTTTGACAGGATGTTGGATCATGAGTACTCATAACTGTACATTTATAGCAATATATACTTAGTTATGTTTTAATTCATCAATGATATATATGATAACATTCATACCTATAATTTGACCTCCTAGACATATTGATACATATAATTTGACCTCTAGACATATTGATACATATAATTTGACCTCTAGACATATTGATACATATAATTTGACCTCCTAGACATATTAATACATATAATTTGACCTCTAGACATATTGATACGTATAATTTGACCTCTAGACATATTGATACATATAATTTGACCTCATAGACATATTGATACATATAATTTGACCTCTAGACATATTGATACATATAATTTGACCTAGACATATTAATACATATAATTTGACCTCTAGACATATTGATACGTATAATTTGACCTCTAGACATATTGATACGTATAATTTGACCTCCTAGACATATTAATACATATAATTTGACCTCTAGACATATTAATACGTATAATTTGACCTCATAGACAAACTGATACCATAGTTTGACCTCAAAGACATATTGATATAAATAATTTGACCTTATAGACATATTGATACATATAATTTGACCTCCTAGACATATTGATACATATAATTTGACCTCATAGACAAACTGATACCATAGTTTGACCTCAAAGACATATTGATATAAATAATTTGACCTTATAGACATATTGATACATATAATTTGACCTTATAGACATATTGATACGTATAATTTGACCTTATAGACATATTGATACGTATAATTTGACCTTTTCAACATATTGATATATTTAATTTGACCTTATAGACATATTGATACTATAATTTGACCTCATAGACAAACTGATACCATAGTTTGACCTCAAAGACATATTGATATAAATAATTTGACCTCCTAGACATAGTGATACATATAATTTGACCTTATAGACATATTAATACATATAATTTGACCAGGATTTTCTCAAGGTATTTAGAATAGAACAATTTATTTCAAAGCCCACAACAAAAGATAAATGGTGGGTGTCTTAGTTTTAGAATGTGCAGATTTAACAAAGTGAGCATGGGTTTTAACAGCTCAACAACTTCTTATTTCAAACACTGATTTAGAAATGCACACAATTTATATAAGCTGTTCAAATTTTGTTTTGTAGGTATGTTTTCACATTTTGTTGTGTTGTTTTTTTTTGCTTGTTATTTTGTTGATGTTGTAAAAGCATGTTATTGTGTTACAGAGGAGCCTATTCTTTATGGATTGGATCCTTGGGTTGATTTGAGAACTGATATTGTCGGTAAGACCTAACATTACTAACTGTATAGATAACTTTATATGGCATGGCTTTAATTTGGGTTAGCCAATTATGGATAATTTGAGCACTAAACTTTCTTCAATATTTTAAAGCAGATAAACAGATGTTAACTAAAAAGTTTTTTTTGGTTTTTTTGATGGGGGTTGGATTGGTGTGGGAAGGCAAAAAAATAACCTGCAGAAAAGGCTTTAAGAGTGATTTCAACATTAACTTGTGTCATAATTATTTTCCTCTTAACTACTATTATAAAAATTAATGAAGATATAAAAGCCAATTACAGTTATAGTCAACCGATTTTGAAACTGGTGAATTAATAGTTTGTTATTATAAAAAATTTTGTCTGGACAGATTCAGTTCTTTTTCTAGTATTTGTACATGCCAGTTCCCTTTGATTTAACAAATTTGCTTGTATTTTTAACCATTAGTTAATCACACAGTTTGTTACATACTAATGACTAGCACTATAGATATGTTTCGATTGACACAATTTGAGTAATAGTGACTTCCCTTTTTTTGCCTTTCTAGAGTCCTAAGTGTGCAAATTTGTTTATAAATCAGCCAAATTCAACTTGTTATACTGACCGCTTGACTTTAGAAAAGGGCTTTTATGAAAACTTTATATTTCTTAAAATCTGGCATAATTTATCATTACGCTCTAGTTAAAGGACCTCTTAAGTGTTTCAATCTGGTTAGTCAAAAAAGAAAATCAACCATTTGTCCCTTCAAAATGGCCGCCAAGGAAAATAACTCAAACTCAGATTACGTCATTTGAAACCTATCTGTTATACAAATTATACAAAATTTAATATGTGTGTTTATTAATACTCAGTACTGATTAAAATATTATTGTTGTTTTTGGTCCATTTTGCTAAATTACATAGTATGTTTTTTAGGGCATTGTTATGAATGACTATTATAGATAAAAATATTCTTTTGCTTCTATTATCTATCTTTCAGTTTGATTGAACCCCTTTTAGAAATATCAGGGTTGATGACCCTTATTTCCATCAAAATAGCTGCAAACATTAGCTGATGATGATTAATTGGTGTTTAACATTCAGTGGCAAATATTACATGCATATCAGAACAGGACTATGTAAATGTGTAATGAATTATGAACTCTGCTTTGTACAAGAGAGACAAGCTGAGCCAGATTAAGGTCCTAGTTCGCTAGGTAACAGTTCCCAGACATGTCATCCTACCAAGACACATTATTCTGACTCAGGGGCAACCAATAATTGCTCTTAATCCTAAATGCTGTGTGCTCAGTGGACAAGCAGTAAATACCAGTTTCCAAGTTTTGGTTTTCACTCAGCTTAGGATCAAACCCACAACCTCCTGCACTCACTGGGATCACACTACCATAAGACAATAGACCATATTAAAAAAATCCTTTACCCCCCTGGTAAATTATTGTCGCGGACATAGACCTTTTTTTTTTTATATACATTATTGCATTTACTGTCATTTATACTTTAATATTAAATAATAAATTGCTTTCTTTTGGAATAGATTGAGGGATTGTTACAAAAATTGAATTGCCATATTTTTATTTGTTTTTTTCATATGGTGTAAATCAATTTTCTCATGTAAGAACAACATCGAACTCTGTCAGAAATTTACATGATTTCAGTTATAATATAAGTACAATGTTTATGGATTGAAATTGAACAACTTAAACAAAAAGACATCTCTAAATATTCTGTATTGGTATGATATGGAAGATATTAGATTATCATATAAATGTCATACATTTCTCATATTCCATACTATGAATCAATGGGAATGAGATTACAAACATGACACCTAATAACTTGTACAGTGCAAATAGTATGAAAAGGAAATGGACAAATTTTATCCTCCCAACTCTGATAAACTTTTGTAGTATACCCTTAGGATTTTTTTTAAGAAATTCTGAAAATTTAGCCATAAAATCAGAAATAGAAAGCAAACCAGTAGAAAAATATATTGCCGTACAAGCTTTGAAATTTATTGCTAGATTGATATCTGAAAATACAAAACCTTTATTTAAGAAATGACTGTAATATTTTATCTGTCTATGAAGAAATGACTGTAATATTTTATCTGTCTATGAAGAAATAACATCAAAAATGTAGTGCACACTGAATAACCCACATAGCGGTTTATTTAAAAGTGGGCATCACATTTTTGAGGTTTTTTTTAATTGACAGAAAAATGTTACAGTCATTCCTTATAATTTAATTCTAAATTCCATTTTTAAGGAGTAAATCATGAAAAAACATTGATGACGTCAAGGTCACATGACAAAATTATGTCTATGAGCTGATAGTCAAAAACTTCCAGCCAATCAGAAGACGTGTTACATCCAAAATTAAATTATTAAAAGATGCCTCCACATTAATATGTAAAAATTACTCAGAAGGCATTTATTCTTAGTCTACTTATTTAAAGAATCTGTCTTTTCTAATAAAATATATTTTATCCTTTGATAGTGTTAAATCATTAAAAATACTAAAACCTTTACTAATACCAATAATAAAATGATGTTATAAGGGATTCATTAAAATAACTTGATACAAATGTATAAAAACAGATCAATCTTAAATTGATCATTGTCTTAAATAACCAAATTTTATGGTTCATAGATTGCTCACAAAATTAAGAATCAGTGATCATTTACTATTTGTTATTTGCAAATATAGAAAATTGCCAAGAGAAGAAAATTTGCAATAGATGTAAAAATGAAATTGATTATGAATATCACTTTTTTCTGTTTTGTGATTTAACTAAGAATAGATGTGAACAATTATTTAAATATTTTAATATTGTAGAAAATAATTTGATAACTTAAAGTCAATTTATCCCTCAAATTTAACAAAAGCGTTGAATTTGTTTTATATATTTGGATGGCTAAGTTTTACAATGATCTTGGCGCGTTAATGTCATGACTTCATACGAATGAAAACTCTCAAGCTGAAGATTATTCCGTTACTTGTACGCTTCAAATTTGGATATATCTCATTAAAATGAAGTTTTAGAGGTAGGTGTTTTTTCATTTTAGATTATATTGCATTAAGCTAACATTTTAGAAAGTCAATATGGCGGCTAACTCCTTAGTTAAGACATGTCAATGGGGCATTTGATGATAAATAGAAGCCAAAGAACAAAACTTTATTAATTAAAAATTTCGAATGTTTGGCTTAGGAATTATATGGATTTAAGACTTTTTTTCTGGAGGTTATTAAAGTGTGTACTAGATCGCTAACTCACAAACTTTACATAAAAGTCGGAACTTATTCAGTTTGTGAATTAATCGCCCCAGTTTACATACCAATAACCTCTAGAAAAAATGTGTTTATTTTATATCTATATATTATTATAGATAAAGAGAAATTTTAAACAGCAAAAATGTTGTGCAAAGTAAGACCAAATTTGTCAATTGATCCCTTATAGGAGTTATTGCCCTTGAAAAACTATTTTTATTAAATTTTTAAGTTTTTGTCATAAACTATAAAAGGTAGACAGAAACTTAGAATGGCAAAAATGTATAGCTTAATAATACCTACAAATAAGTCAACATTACCGAAACAGTTAAGCCCTTATAGGAGTTATTATCCATGAAAGACAATTTGTATGCCCCCGCTGTATTGTAGGGGGCATTAAATTTTACCCTTGTCCATCTGTACGTTTGTCCGTCCGTCGTTACGTCCTGAAATTGGTTTCTGTTCTCTAACTTTAGTTTGCCTCAACCAAATGTTATGAAACTTTTAAACAATGCTCATTACCACAAAACACAGATCAAGTTTGCATTTTGGTGGCGTCACTTGTACCGTTCTAGAGTTATGTCCCTTTACAAATGGAAAAATTGCTGAATTTATCATTTCCGTTCTCTAACTTTAGTTTGCCTCAACCAAATGTTAAGAAACTTATAAACAATGCTCATTACCACAAAACACAGATCAAGTTTGAATTTGGGTTGTGTCACTTTTACCTTTCTGGAGTTATGTCCCTTTACAAATGGAAAAATTGCTGAATTTTTCATTTCTGTTCTCTAACCTTAGTTTGCCTCAACCAAATGTTATGAATCTCATACACAATTCTTATTACCACAAAACACAGATCAAGTTTGAATTTTGGTGGCGTCACTTGTACCGTTCTAGAGTTATGCCCCTTTACAAATGGAAAAATTGCTGAATTTTTCTTTTCCGTTCTCTAACTTAAGTTTGCCTCAACCATATGTTATGAAACTTTTACACAATGCTTATTACCACAAAACTATGAAACTTTTACACAATGCTTATTACCACAAAACTCAGATCAAATACGAATTTGGGTAGCGTCACTTTTACCGTTGTTTAGTTGTGTCCCTTTATAACGTTATATGCAAGCGGGGGCATCATCTGTGTCTCATGGACACATTTCCCATTTATTTTTTCATTTTTTCTTTATTTTTGAAGAAACTGTGATAGACAGATAGAGAAAATGTTCAGAAAAATAAGACCTACAAATAAGTCCACTTATCCAAAATTATCAATAGATCCCTTGTAGGAGTTATTGCCCTTGAAAGATGATTTTTACCAATTTTCGTGGGTTTTTTTAACTGAAACTCGGATAAATAGATAAAATCTTTAAGAAGCAAAAAGGTTCAGAAATTGTGTAATGTTTGTCATATGTTTTCTGTATGACAGTCCATGTTTTTATATCCATACCAGATATTGGTCCAAAAATTGCAGTGATGTTTTTTCCACCTTTTTGTTGCAGAAACTTTGTGATTTTGTAGATTCAATTTTACCAAAAAAGAGGCGAAAGGCACCCAATTTTTATACCCTAGGTGCATTATGTTTTTCGGTCTGTGCGTCTGTTCATCTGTCTGTCCTGCTTCAGGATAAAGTTTTTGGTCAAGGTAGTTTTTGATGAAGTTGAAGTCCAATCAACTTGAAACTTAGTACACATGTTCCCTATGATATGATCTTTCAAATTTTAATGCCAAATTAGAGTTTTGACTCTGAACATAGAAAGTGATAGTGCGAGTCGGGCATCTGTGTACTATGGTCACATTCTTGTTATTTGATCATTTGATAGATTAATGTCAATAGTTTCAGAAAATGTATCACTCAAGGGGATTGAAATTCTACTTTGAACCAAATTTTGGGTGAACATGGGACACTTTCATGCCCCTTTTAGCAATATTTTATGGTAAATAAATGCCGAATGTTGCCATGGTTACACAAAATAGAAACTATATTTCACCATTTTAACTGTTGAAAAATACATCTATCTGGAAGATACTGATTACATACATATGCACATATATGGCACAAACAGTAAGCTTAATGTATTAGAAAGCCTGGAATAGAAGATTATTAAACATTTTGTGGGTCAATTTCAATTTTAAACTGTGGATTGCTACCTTAGGACATTGTTAAACAATCTTTACATGTTTGATTGTTGCCTTTAAAAATATTACCCAGAGCATTACTTCCTGAAAAGTAATTAATATATACCTCTTTGGTTTGAAATAATCATCTGACCAGACTCACGAGATATTTTATCGTAGAATGATAATTTGTTGTTCCTTTTTTATTGTTCATACCTTATTTGTACGTTAAAAATGGATTTCAAGTTTGTTCTTTCCTTCTAATAGATAAACTTGACGAGAGTTGACTTGTTCTTTCCTTCTAATAGATAAACTTGACGAGAGTTGACTAACGTTCAAGTCTACTTAGCCCTCTATAAATTCTTATATTAGTAATAAAGACAATCAGTTCTCAGACAATTGCTTTGTTCAAGAGTGCATTACTAATAAATGCCTTAAAGCATTGAAGATTTGATTTGGACTTACAGACAGCTCAAGTAGAATATTTCTATAAAATTCGACATCTGTAAAAGAAGGTAAAATCTTTTTTTATTGCAGACTTTGTTGATGGAAAGAAAATGAGAGTACTTTTGAGTAGCACTGTGAAGTAGTCGCCAAATTTCTACAAGAATGAACAATTCTATCATGTTTTCAATATCCGGCATCCATCACGAATTGGAGTATCCAATTTTCTCACGATTACCCAATAAAACGTGTAATAACCGTCAGTCTTAGCAGCATGAAGTGTTCATTACATAGTCGAACTGAAATGAACGATATATTTGATGATTTTTCTGAAAATCTAATTTCTAAGAGGATTTAATTGGAAAATAACAATATTTAGGTACTGCCACCAGTTACAAAATACAATTATTGTAATTAATTGATATTACAACTGCTGACAGTTAGGATGATTTGAGAAAGATTTGTGTATGATATCATTCAGGCAGTAAACTTATCTCATAACGAATTATGGAAGTTTCAGCTAGGGAAATTTATTAATTAGATTTTGTATGAAAAATTTATAATATGTAAATATGAATAAAGAGTTTAAGGTGTTGATAGCTCTAATAGATATGAATTATTAATATTCACGACCTAAAACCTAACAGATATAAAAGTACAAGCTCGTAAGATCTTGTCTAATGGTCTTGGAACACAGTTAGAGTTCTTCGATTCACCTCATCTATGAATATAGTCCCTAGTGTTTATGTCTTTATTTCTTTATGTTTTATGTGTAAAATAGAAAGTAGGGGAATGAAAAAATTGGGTCTTGAGTTTTTAGGTAAATTAGTGATTTGGTCCTGTTGAAAAAGGTAAAAAATTAGAGTAATTTTGAAGCTGTCAAACTGAATTATCGACCTTCTTAACATAAAAGTGTCCATTTTTAAGGGTTGAGCTAGACTTTTCTACAATTTTGAAATAATTTGTCCCAAAAGTAGTAAACTACACAGTAAAAAAATTTTTGAGAAAGAGCAGGTGCGATTTTTTTAATTTGTATTTATAGTCTAAAAGACTAGAAGACACTACGAAATAACTGTGTTCTAGGGTCTTATATTGTGATTACCAATCATTCTTTTAGTCATCAATGGTCTATCCTAGTATGATTTATTCCAGTAAATTGATCTTTATTGAATTGAATGACCAGTAAAGACTCTTTAAATACCAAATGGGTAATGAAATATTTCCTGGACAGATACCACATGACCCAAATTAAAGAAGACAGATAACTATGTATAAGCTGTTCCTGCTACACTGGTGGTGCTCCGCTGATTGTGCTCTACTGGTGGTGCTCCACTGGTGCTGCTACACTGGTGGTGCTCCACTGATGGTGCTCTACTGGTGCTGCAAAATTAAACCCCTTGTTTCCAATTTATCAAGTATGACAAGTTTTAGTGGAGTTGGATAAACTTTGACTTAGTCTATGTCTTATCATAGAGTTGGTGTATACCTTGTAAGCTCAAATTCTATAAAATGATTTGATATATTTTAATAAAAACTTGCTCTGTTGTAGTATGCCATTTAACGATGTTCATAAATGTTGTTTTTTGAGATTTGACAAAATTGTAGAAGGGACATTCATTTAGCTATTATTAATACAGAAAACAGCTGTTTTCCTTGTCCTCTGACATCCTTACTGCTGGTTACAGATTCTTCTGTTCAATGAAATATAAACTTCAAATGTCTTTGAACTTCCAAACACTCCTGTTCAAGTTCCTATACATGATACCTATATACTTATCAATATGAATCTAAAGATTTCATAACATTTTTGTCTCTTGAACATCAACCCCATATGTTTTATATTTCAGTATTGTATTTAGAAAACATTCATTAAATATTAGCTATTACGCTGTGAAATAAGAGTAGAAATGTAAATGTACAAAAGTAAAAGAAATACATTGGGCAAGTTTTTAAAGCAGGAAAAATAGTAATTGCTGTTTGCTTTATATCGATTTGGAAAGATTTCATGCATATACAGGGCAAGAACAAATGAAGTGAATCAGTAAAGTATGTTTTCAAAACTGTGTTACAATAAAAGGAATGACTAATGGCTGCCATTAGAACACAAGTATAATGAGTAGGGGCACCTGCCTGAAATAGGGAACATAAAGATTTCTTTGATGAGGTCATGAAAAAAGTTTTAACACCAAAGAAAGAAACCAGATGTATAATAAACAGTTTATGAGATAAGTGATTGATAAATCATGCTTATTGTTTTCCAGTTTAGATAGTGGATCAAATTTGAGGACAATTTATAATCCTCCAGTAGTTAGTTTATATCCATGTAATATGTTATTTTTGAACAGTAGTGAACTAGATATGAAATATTATTTATTTTGCAGGTAGAATAGGCACACCACAGTTCATGGCACCAGAGATTGTGAACCGACAGCCCTATGGGAAACCAGTAGATATGTGGGGGTGTGGCATCATGATGTTCATATTGCTGGGTGGCTATCCACCATATGTAGGAACCAAAGACAATCTTTTTCATCAAATTGTACAGGGAAAATATCATGTAAGTTCAATCTCAGGGTCTTGAATAGACCATTCCACAACTTTTAGATTCTTCCAGAGTTTTTATACGACCGCAAAAAAAATTTTGTGGTCGTATATTGGTATGGCGTCGTCGTCGTCGTCGTCCGAAGACACATTGGTTTTCGCACTCTAACTTTAGTTTAAGTGAATGGATCTCTATGAAATTTTACCACAAGGTTCAATACCACAAAAGGAAGGTTGGGATTGATTTTGGGGGTATTGGTACCAACAGTAAAGGAATTAGGGGCCAAAAAGGGGCCAAAAATAAGCATTTTTGTAACTTCCAGACATAACTTGTGTGTTAGTGTATGGATCTCTCTGACATTGTACCACAAGGTTCCAAATCACAAAGGGAATGCTGGGATTGATTTTGGGGGTAATTGCCTTAAAATTTTAGGAATTAGGGGCCAAAAAAGGGGCAAAAAACAAGCATTTTTCTAGTTTCATGACAATAACTTGTGTGTAAGTGTATGGATCTTTCTGAAATTGTACTACAAGGTTCCATATCACAAAGGGAAGGCTGGAATTGAGTTTGGGGGTAATTGTCGAAACGTTTAGGAATCGGGGGCCAAAAAGGGGCCAAAAATAAGCATTTTTCTAGTTTCCAGACAATAACTTGTGTTCAAGTGTATGGATCTCTCTGAAATTGTACTGCAAGGTACCATACCACAAAGGGAAGGCTGGGATTGATGATGGGGGTAATTGCCTCAATATTTTAGGAATTAGGGGCCAAAAAGGGGCAAAAAACAAGCATTTTTCTAGTTTCAGGACAATAACTTGTGTGTAAGTGTATGGATCTTTCTGAAATTGTACTACAAGGTTCCATATCACAAAGGGAAAGCTGGGTTTGAGTTTGGGGGTGATGAATCATAAGGGGGTTCAAAAAATTTGGGGGGGGATTTTTTTTTTTTTCCTTTTTTATCTTTTTTTCCTTTTTTTTTTCCTTTTAAAATTTTCCATTTTAAGTTGGTTATTTCTGATTTATATTTAAAAGCAAATAATAATGATATGGTAGGAGATACACACCAAACAGGATGTGTAAATTATTATATAATAAGTATTGTGCAATAGCAAGAAATTTTCAATTGCACAGTATTGCGCAATAGCAAGAAATATCCAATAGCACAATGTTGCGCAATAGCAAGAAATTGTCAATTGTACAGTATTGCGCAATAGCAAGAAATATTTAATTGCACAGTATTGTGCAAAAGAAGATACTTCGTATAAATTGCTTATTTCTTGACCAATTTCAATGGGGTTTTATTCTTGAATTCTTGGGTTTTTTTAATATGCTGAATCATACCGTGTATTAAGTTTTTGGATTTTGGGCCCCGTTTTTAAATTGGTCCACATTGAGGTCCAAAGGTCCAAAATTAAACTTTGTTTGATTTCATCAAAAATTGAATTATTGGGGTTCTTTGATATGCCGAATCTAACCGTGTATTTAGATTCTTAATTTTTGGTTCCGTTTTCAAATTGGTCTACATTAAGGTCCAAAGGGTCCAAAATTAAACTTAGTTTGATTTTAACAAAAATTGAATTCTTGGGGTTCTTTGATATGCTGAATCTAAACATGTATTTAGATTTTTGATTATGGGCCCAGTTTTCAAGTTGGTCCAAATCGGGGTCCAAAATTAAACTTTGTTTGATTTCAACAAAAATTGAATATATGGGGTTCTTTGATATGCTGAATCTAACCATGTATTTAGATTTTTGATTTTTGGGCCCCGTTATCAACTTTGTCCACATTGAGGTCAAAAGGGTCCAAAATTAAACTTTGTTTGATTTCAACAAAAATTGAATTCTTGGGGTTCTTTGATATGCTGAATCTAACCATGTATTTAGATTTTGGATATTGGACCATAATAGGTGAATGTCCAATTTAAAATTTTTAAGTTCTTAGACCACATTCATTCTGTGTAGAAACCTATGCTGTGTCAAATATTTAATCACAATCCAAATGCAAAGCTGTATCAAGCTTGAATGTTGTGTCCATACTTGCCCCAACTGTTCAGGGTTCGACCTCTGCGGTCGTATCAAGCTGCGCCCTGCGGAGCATTTTATTCAATGTAGAAAACTGATCTGAAGGATTGTCATATTGAACAAATTTTAAAATGAAAAAATAAAAATAACAAGAAAACTTTTGAAGTATATATTTTTCACATGTTTGTATTAAGGAAGAATAAAGACAGAACTTTTAAATATCAATTTTTTTTAATTTGATTTTTTTTAAAGAAATTTGAAAACAAATTTCATTCAGAAAGTCTGCACCCAGTCAGGCTATTATGACAGTCAATTGCCACTTGAAAACTAGCCAATATTTATATGGACATTGATTATTTGGAATATATCCTGAAGCTCAGTACATGTATTCCCTACTCCTTCAAATCTCAACAATTGGCATACATTCCGTTGGTTTCTAAAATTCCAAGTTACCACCACAAATTCAAAAACAAACCAAATCAATCATTACAAGAAAGGTCAGAAATTATGATTTGAGTCAAATTTTTCAATATTTTTTGCATATTTACATGCATCAAACACATTTGTTTTCCTTTCTACAGAATATGCAATCCCTTTATCGTCAACGTATAAAAGTTACTTGTATAATTTTGGTCTCGCCTGTGATGAAAGATGCTTCATACCTTTTATGCAGATACCTTATGTTATGAAGTTTCCATCTGTCATATGTCCATTGTTCTTGACCTCATTTTCATGGTTCAACGACTACTTGAATAAAAAATTGTATTTTTTTTGTCATGTGAATTTCTCACTGATTATGAGTAATAGGATAAGTATATTTGGTATTTTAGTTCTTTATAATGTCTACATGTCTATCAGACAGAGTTCATCGGACCTCGACCTCATTTCATAGATCAGTGATCAAGGTTAAAGTTACATGATTAGGTCCGTTTCTCAGCTACTATAAGCAGTAGGTTAACTATATGTGGTGTAAACTGTATGGAATGATTGTAAGGGGTACATGTCTGTCTGGCAGGTATAATCTGACAATTTCATGGTTCTTCCATCAATGTTAAGTTTTTGTGTTTTGAACTGTTATTCAATTACTTTAAGCAAAAGGTCAACTATATTTGGTATATTGAATAATAATTGTAATGTGTACATGTCTGTCTGACAGGATTATCTAAACTTGACCTCATTGCCATAGATATTTAAAAATATTAAGTTCATGTGATACTTGTAGTAAAACTTTTATCTTTAAGACTTTTTACATAAAATCAATGGTCAGTAAAGCAGGCAAGACATTTCAGTGTATGCATTCTTGTTCAATATTACATATGGTGTAGCATTCTCTTGTTTCATTGGATATTAGGATCACATGTTTTAAAGGTTATTTTATGTATCCGAAGCCTTGTTTCTATTTTTATGTATATTGACGCTATGTTTCTATTTATATGTATATTGACGGTCAATATAAAAAATCTTGCTAAATTTAGATTCATGACGTCATGACTTCACACATAACATACATGGAGGAAGCGCTGGAGCAGACGATTCAAAAAGAAAATGTTTATCAGAAGGAGATATCAAGAATTTTATGTTAAATGCAGACGCTAAGAATACAAGAAAGCTAACGCAACAAGCTATGAAGTTGTTCAAAGAATATTGATATTTTCAATAACATGTTAAAATTCTTGCAAAATACAATTTAAAAATACACAGAAAGAACATTGAACGCCATTTTCCTCATATATTATTTACATATGTAATATATTAATTAAGGACTTTCACTCAGTCAATACGTTATATATGGACCTGTTAGATTATATTGACACTCGGACTTCGTCCTCAGTCAATATAATCTGAACAGGTCCATATATAACGTATTGACCTCATCAAAAGTCCATAATTGATAAATATTCATACCAGTTCCACATGCTCTATTCACTTGCTAAATATCATAATAATTTGTGAGCTTGCCCATTTGTGTACCTGTTACCTAACTTATAAATTGTAAAACAGTCAAGAAGGTATATTGTGTTTAACCCATCAACCAATCCATTTTACCATCTTTTGTATTAGCTTACATAACATTACCTTAGCTGTATTTGGCAAAACTATTAGGAATTTTGGGTCCTCAATGCTCTTCAACTTCGTACTTTATTTGGACTTTTAAACTTATTTTGATTAGAGCGTCACTGATGAGTCTTTTGTAGACAAAACACGCATTTGGCATGCAAAATTTCTATTCTGGTACCTATGATGACTTTATTGTCCATCTATATCTGCTCACTTTGTGATTCTCGCTGGATACTGTTAAATTGAAAGGAGCTTTACTCATCAAAGTAAACAAGTTAAGTCATCAGAAAAAGTAGAAACAATTTAGGAAGGAAGACTCTTTCTTTATGAATGTTTGGGCTTTCGGTATGATACCTTGCTCACTTAATGATCTTTTATTTCTTTATGCCTTATATTTCAGCTAAGAAAACATTGGATGACAATATCCACTCCCGCTAAAGATTTGCTCAGTAAATTGTTGGATGTAAATCCTAACGACAGAATTACAATAGAGGAAGCTTTACAGCATCCTTGGATAAAGGTAGTAAATAATGTAGAGGTTATATAATGTACACAACACTTCGAGGAGGGGAGGTCATATACAGAATAAATACCCTGATGTATTAGAATTACACCTTGATGCTTCCCTTATAAGATGCACTTTTCAGCTCACCTGGCCCAAAGGGCCAAATGAGCTGTTCTCATCACTTGGCGTCCATTAACATTTACGAAAATCTTCTACTCTGAAACTACTGGACCAAATTTAACCAACCTTGGCCACATATATGGGGTATCTAGTTTAAAAAATGTGTCCAATGACACCACCTGCCAACCAAGATGGCCAACACGGCTGAAAAAAAGAAAATAGGGGTAAAATGCAAGTTTTGTCTGTTATTTTGAAAACCATTATAAATTGAGAAAATCTGACAGAACATAAGTGCTCAGAATGTTGAGCTCAACCAATTGTTCATTGAAGTCAAAACTGTCAGGCGACTTCTTTTAGGAGTTATAGCCCTTAAATTACAAATTTTACCATTTTTTTCATTTTTGCCTATTATCTGGAAAACAATAATAGATAGAAAGAAACTTCTAGAAAAACTGAATATTAATAATAATAATCTACATTAAAAAATTTAGTATGGGGTTATAAAATAAATGATGAGCAATACTATGAAATTAATTATTTGATTACAATTATAATGTTTTGTATATATAAGGCAAATTATATGTCTGAACAGAAAACAAAATCTTTAGATGTATATTCAGTATTTAAAGCAGAATTAATGTACAGCCACAAAATGCAGGCAACTAGTAAACATACTAAGAATAAATGTCTACTTGATAAAGTTGTCAAATTGTTGTAATAATTTTTATGTTTGAAAATGTATAATCTAGCAAAAAATAAAAGGAAAAGGTAAATAAAATATAAAAATTCTAGATTTCCGGAACTGATTTAGAGAAATAATTTTACCTATAACCGTTAAGCGTGGTTGATAACGGTATTTGTTATCCTCAGTTTTTTTATCGTTAAAAAAAAATGAAGAAAATATTTACAAACTAATTTATTTCAGAATCGAAACAAATATATTGAAATTTGTATTCATACATACCTGTGAATAGCTTATATTAATCATATTTAAATCACTATTCCAAACCAGGAAGAGATATCAATACAATAATAGTAAATCGATAACGGCAATCGTGAACTATTTCCGGAAACTTTTTCTATCCAAACAAGCTAGATAATACATATTGATAAATAAGAATTTCATATATACTTATTTATTTACGATTGAAAATATAATATTTATAATATAGTTTAGATGAATTGTAATGTATTATTATTAAATAGAGAGAAACCCTGGATTTCTTGTAAAAATAAAGTGACCTTTCACTAGAATGCTGGACTAGTGAAATAAATTGTTAACAGCAAGCAATATATTGTTGAATAAAAAAAAAAAAAAAAAAAAAAAAGAAACTTTAGTTGCAAAAATGATCAGCAAGACAAGATCTACGAATATGTTTGCATGGTCGAGATCGTCAGTGGACTCCTTATTAGAGTTATTGCCCTTTGATAAAGATTTTAACCATTTTTTGCGTTTTTGCCCAATATCTTAAAAATTATAATAAATAGATAAAAACTTAAATAAGCCAAAATGATCAGAAAGACAAGATCTACATTTAAGACATTATGGAGAAAATTTTCCAACGACTGCTAATTGGAGTTATTGCCGTTTAATGACGATTTTTACAAATTTTTGGCATTTTGCCTTATATGTTAAAAATTATAATAGATTAGTAGAAACTTTAAATAACAAAAATGATCAGCAAGGCATGATCCACAAACAAGTCAAAGTTTGCTGATATAGTTATTAGACTGTCACTCTTCATCGGAGTGATTGCTTGTTAATGAGGATTTTTTTTAGCCCTCTTTTGTGTTTTGAGCACAAACTAAAGAAAATAGAGAGAAACAAAATGATCAACAAAAAGATTTTTGTCATGAATTCTATTCTTGTCTACAATGTTGGAAAAAGTCCAATGTTGAATATGTACATAGACCTAGGTGAGCAACACAGGCTCTTTAGAGTCTCTAGTTCAGCTTATTTATAGTTTTAAAGTATTATAAAAATGGTAGTTGAAAAATTGTTAAGATTTATAGAGATTATTAGTAAGTGCTAGTTATAGTAAAATTCTTACTTTTTCTAAGAAAAAAGTTTATTAGCTCAATTACAAATACCTGTTGCTCTTTTTATTAATAAAAGATTAACCAAATTTCATTTTAACAAAATCAGTCTATAAATCCTGTTACAACAAAAAGGAGTCTTTAGTTTTCTGATTTTAACATAATTTGTTACAAGGACCAGTTACTGTCATTTATGAATCTATGAACTAAATTATAAAATTGTTCTCTGAAAGCAAAGTTTACTGTTACATTTTGCCATTTTGTAGCAAAAAGACAAAAAGTACATTTGTGACGAAGTACGCAAAGCATCATCAGTCTGTCCTTAAATTCTGAAGATTGTTTTCCTTCTGTAAATCTAATTTTTTTTAGTAATACATGTATATCACTTAAAGTCACCAATATGTGCTGTACTGCAAAGACACCTACAGTTTAAGTTTCAAATTTACCTATATATTTTTATATATTAGTTTTACAGTATATCTTTCTTGTCGACATATTCTTATTTTATTTTTATTCGTTTTTACCCTACTGTACAATCACCACTTCAGGTGTTGGTCCACTTATAGAGTTTTAGTATATATTTGTGTTTAAAATTATGACTGTGTTTAGAGGCAAGCCTAAATATTGCATAATCAGAACCCACAAAGCTGTATACATCACCCATTATCATCCTACATAACACATACAATCACCAAAAATAGCGGACAGTACAACAGAAGACATTAACCAGTTTTAGGAGTGTAAAAATCTCCCCTATACCTATCTAGACCATAGGTTGTAAAACTAAAACAGTAAAAACATTTATCTGAAATGATATACATTTTATAACTATTAAACTGTTGAATGATTTGTAAAATAATTAAGATCGAACATCAAGTTTATGTTTTGTTTTTATAGGATAGAAGTAGAATTCCAAAAGTTCACTTGCAAGAAACTGTAGAAGAATTAAAAAAGTTTAATGCAAGACGAAAATTAAAGGTAAGTTGGTATTACTGATATTGTTCAGTATACCTTAGTAGACTTAATAAGCTCATTTATTTTTTCAAACTAAGTGTTATATATTACATTTATTTAACATAAACTGAACCTAACAAATTTGAGGAAAATACTAAAAATCAGTAGCTCCTTTCAGGAAAAATCTTACATCTAAAAGCGATACTAAAATGTTCATTATTTGCAGCATTTTTTCTTTGTAAATCTTTTTTTAAATTAATTGGAGATGAGTTTAGAAAGGAAAAATTCTATTTAGCCAGCCAATCTGTCTCCATGCCAACACTGCATTGTTTAAAATGGGTCAGAAGTTCGATTTAAAAGCATATAATCTAACCATAGGAGATATGTAAATGGATCAGAGAAAGTATATAAAATTACCATTTTTCATCAACAAAATTTACAAAGATGATACCAGTTATTTGCAATCAACTTCTTCAGTTTTTAACCCAGATCCCTGAAATTTCACAGAATAATTGCAAAGCGCCTGCCATTATGAATTTGTTTGAAGAATTTGTCTCCATTTTTCAAGACTTGGGATCTTAGTGTACTTTGTAAAAATAAACATATTGTCAAATGTTCACACCATAATAGAATCAACATTTTCTTACTCTTCTTTCTTGTAGTACTTCATAACCTACACCCCTGCCTTGCAATTAGAATTTTAGAATAAAAACTTGCAGATTGTATTTACCAGAATTTGGTAATTGCAAGATTTTCAGTTTAAAATTCTTCAATCTTCCAAAATTTTGTCAATTTATTAAAGAATGAGAAGGATGAAATAATCCCGTTGATTTAGAACTTTGTTTATGTCCCTTGAGAAAAAAAAAAGGGTAACATTCTGTTTCAAGGTAAAAAAAAGAAGAACTATTTTTTCTACTACAAATTGATTAAGGTAGCTGGGGTGTCTAAATGTTTGATGATAGATTTTTCTTAACCTTCAGTAAAAGACTTTGGGGTTAATGTGTTTTCAAATTTCAATATAAAAACTGGGGGTCACTGAGCTTGTTTTTACGTTAAAATGCATTGAAATTAATGAAATCAGAGTTATTTTTTATGGGTTATATAGGGGAAACTTAATTTTTCCTTATTGAGGAAACATTAAATGATAGAATTGTTAAAAATTCAATGAGAGAATTGCTTTTTATATTTGGAAATATTTCCAAAATATAAAATAACAAATAGGGTCACTGGCCTTGTTTTTTTGAAAAATCAAAAACAGAAAGACAAACTTTCCTATCAAATTCAATATAATTATCTGCCCTTGATTTTAAAAGGACTTAACGACACTTAATTTTTTGATAGTTTAATCTTTAAATTTTTAGTTTTAGATGCTTCTGTTGAATATGGAATGATACTTGGTAAAATATTTTAGACCGAAAAGTATGCAACATGCCTAGAAAGGATGCTCAGAGAAAGACACCCGATCTACCTTAAGATTGAAACTAGGCTTTCATACACATGGTGCTTCTAAGATTTTATTCCTTTTGAATCAATTATGACCATTTGATGGGCCTTCAAACTTCCAACTACACAGCTCTTTAGGAAATCCAATAGAAACATTAGTCAGTTTTATGCATCAGAATATTAAATGAGACATACAGTGTCTTTTACCTCTTATTAAGATCAACTGGATAAAACAGCTGTGATCTAGTACCATCATATGGTATTTGTCCATCTTGTCTATAAAATCAATTATTAAAAAAATGGAATTTGAACTAAATTTGTCTTAAATCATCACCTATGGGACATTTGTTGCGAAATAATTTCCCATGACCTAACAGACCTGTCATTATTGAGAATAAAAGAGAAATCTCCATAAATTTTAATACTAAATTCCGTTTTAACTGATGTCATGTGTTTGTCTTCTTCAGAAATTGTGTTAAATTACACCTTACAATCAGCTAAATTACATAAAACCACTATTTGTAGAAATTATTTGGCAATGTAATAATTTTTTAGTTCTCTATAAATTACACCTTACAATCAGCTAAATTGCATAAAACCACTATTTGTAGAAATTATTTGGCAATGTAATAATTTTTTAGTTCTCTATAAATTACACCTTACAATCAGCTAAATTGCATAAAACCACTATTTGTAGAAATTATTTGGCAATGTAATAATTTTTAAGTTCTGGATAAATAACTGTTATGATCAGATAACAAAATTTTTTTTAGTTTTTAAGATTTTTTTTTGTATTAAATAAAGGTGACAAACTAGTTTTAAGCCTAGTAACATAATGAAAATTTACAGAAAAATGTTAAAACATATATTGCATAGGTGAAACAGACAGGTAAAGATGATGTTACTTTAGATTTACCTGAGTTCTCCTAATAATAATAGGGTCAATATTCACAATTCAATTCAGGTAGGCAATAATAGCAGCCTTTTCTTTAATTCCTATGTATATATCGTAAACTTGGATTTGAAAGATGACTAGTTTCAAAGCTGAGACATTTTCACATGTGTGGTTGAATTTTTCGAGTTACAAAGTGTGGTTAGATTTCCTGTAATATTTAATTCCCCAAGAATGCTTGTGTGATATACGGCTTCAAGGAGGGAAAAAGATTCCTGTTTTCACTCTGTTAAATTCTCTGGAAATTCTCTGGAAATTCAGTTCTTTACAAACATTTCATAACTCCAAAGTTTTTACATCTGTATTCTATGGTCCTCTGCCCTAAAAAAAAAAGCACAAATGGTTCAGCTCAGTCAATTTTTAAAAATAGCACCATGTCCAATACATTAACTTTCAATTGGTGCTTTTTCATGAAAAATTTTGATGTCTCAAAGCAAATATCTTCATTTCACAATGTCCTATGATGCGTTTTACCCCGAAAGACACCAGGTCAACTGGGGAAGTTCTTTTATAAAATGGAAAAACAAAACTCATCCATATCATTACACAGATATTTTTGTATTTCTAATTATAGTTGCGTTCTTCGTTTTAAGGTGCATAAGAGATAATTACAGTCGCACAACGCGTTGCAGGGAAAATAGAAATACCGGCCGTCTGTCTGTCTGTCCGGTCTTGTTAACGCTCTCACATTAACCATTCTTGCCAGATTTCTATAAAACTTATATCATTGGTTTATATCAGCAATGTCTTGAATAAGTTCGAAAAATCAAAGCTGATCAATAATTTTTATTGGTATGACGTCGGCGTCGGCATCCGAAGACACATTGGTTTTCTCACAATAACTTTAGTTTAAGTGAATGGATCTCTATGAAATTTTACCATAAGGTTCAATACCACAAAAGGAAGGTTGGGATTGATTTTGGGGGTTATGGTACCAACAGTTAAGGAATTAGGGACCAAAAATAAGCATTTTTGTAACTTCCAGACAATAACTTGTGTTTAAGTGTATGGATCTCTCTGAAATTATACCACAAGTTTCCATACCACAAAGGGATGGTTAGGATTTTTTCTCATTTCAGATTTCAGAAATTAAACAAAATTTCTTCACAAATTTTTTTTTTGCAAAAAAAAGGTGGGTGGGGGGGGGGGGGGGGGTCAAAACGCAACAGCATAGTGTATTGCACAAAAGCAAAAAAAAAAAATAGGTTAATTCTTATTTTTTTTTGGGGGGGGGGGGGGTTAAATTGCACAGGCACAGTGTATTGCACAAAAGCAAAAAATTGAATATAAATTCATATCCTATAACCAATTCTGAGTCCTTTGACTACAGTTATTCTGTGTCAGAAACCTATTATGTGTCAAATATTTTTAATTACAATCCAAATTCAGACCTGTATCAAGCGCGAATATTGTGTCCATTTTTGCCCCAACTGTTCAGGGTTGGACCTCTGCGAATGTATCCAGCTGCGCCCGGGGAAGCAATTTATTTAAAGAGTGATGCCCCTTGGAAACATTAATTATATGGCAAATTGCATCCTTAGCGATTGCATGTGTACAAATCTTGCCAGATGTTTATAAAACTTATATTGTAGGTTTATATCAACAATAGCTCGGACAAGTTTGAAAATCAGTGCTGATCAATAATTTTTAAAATATTAATAACATGGAAAATTGCATTGTTAGCGCTTTCATGTGTACAATTCTTGCCAGATTTTTATGAAACTTATATCATAGGTTTAAAACAGCAATGTCTTGGACAAGTTTGAAAATCAGTGCTGATCAATTATTAAGAGTTATGCCCTTGGAAATATTAGAAATTGCTCTTAAGTCTTCAACTCTGTACGATAATTTTAAAAAGTTTTAAAAAACAAAAAAAAAATTTGTTTATAGTTATTGACCTTGAACAGATGAAATATGTGCAACGTGTGGGACATTGGAACTCTGTTCTTTTATTCAATAAGGACATTAATTTGTCGTTTGTGTAAACATGGATTTTTTTTCTTGGCTTGGCTGCACAAAGTGCTTAACTTTCTTGTAGTATAGCAATATTTTGTGGTAAGGGGGAATGGGTAGAAATGGGTACCTATTTTGTGTAATCTCACATTCCTGAAAGTTCAAAGAGAGATTGATCACACATATCATATATTGAAATTATGCAAATGCTGTGATGGATTGTTTGAGGAATTTGTTACCATTTTTAGCTCACCGTGCTTAAAAGGCCATGTGAACTTTTGCAATCACTTGGTGTCTGTCGTTGTAAACATTTTAAAAGATCTTCTCCTCTGAAATAACTGGACCAAATATTTCCAAATTTTACCTGAATGTTTAATAGGGAATCTAGTATAAAAATTGTATCTGGGTATTTGATCCACGAACAAGCATGGCAACTGTTGCTGATAATAAAACACAGGGTTTAAATATAGTTTTAGGCTTATTTTTATGCCCCAGCCGTAGCGGAGGGGGCATTAAGTTTTACCCTTGTACATCCCATAGTTGGTTTCCGTTCTCTAACTTTAGTTTGCCTCAACCAAGTGTTATGAAACTTATGCACAATGCTTGTTACCACAAAACACAGATCAAGTTTGAATTTTGGTGATGTCACTTTAACCGTTCTAGAGTTATGCCCCTT